ATGACTTCTAGAGATTCTATGGATCTTATAGAACCCAACAGAGTATATCATGGCAGACTGAAGAGTTAAGTTCCCACTTGACAATCTACATACCTGATAAATCAGTGTTATACTTGCTACCTGTTGCTCCTGACCTATCCTATGTGCCCAAAACAGTACATTAAGCAAAAGGAGTAAAGTCTAACTGGATTTAAATTCCATTCTTGAAATTATGGATAGGCTTTGTGCTTAGAACATTTATGTACTTTCTATTGTTATTTGTGGAATTCATTTTAGCTGATAGGCAGATTATGCTAATGAGACTGAACAAATATACTTTATCAAAAGCCATGTTGTGTATGTATAATACCCAAGTAGGACCCAAATCCATGAAAATATGGACAAGGGCAACTTGTATTGTTAAATGAAGGAATCTTATTAAAACTGGATGAGAACAGTCAATGAGATAGCTAAACAGTTGCAATAACACTAAAAACTGAAAATGAAAGGCTATGCTGTAATCTGTCCCCTGTAATATTGCAAAACTGCTTTCTTTCAAGATTTTAAACATCTAAAGGAACAACGCTACTATAAATTATTCTAGCTGACAGAACAATTGTGCATAACTCTTCAAATTTTAGATATCCAATGAAGTGGAGCCAGCAATATTCTATGATGAAGGGGAGAAGGAGAAAGACCTATTATTTAGCTGGCAGATTGTTTGAAATCACAGCTGCAGCTGTCAACTCTGTGAAAAGCAAGCTGGCCACTTGAGTGTCTAGAAGCTCCCGCTATGTATGTATGTGGTTCCTCTTTTCGATCCATACATCTCTATATGGATTACCGTATTTCCAAATGAGCAAATGGAAGTGAGAAATAAATGATATAGAATCTTAGCTAACTGAACTGATTATTCAAAGTGCCTAAGGCAAAGGTTTTCAAGCTTGGCAAGTTTAAGACTTGTGAATTCCTGAGCCAACATGACTGGAGGAGGAATTCTGGGAGTTGAAGTCCAAAAGTTTTAAAACTGTCAAGCTTGAAGACCCTGGCCTAAGGAAATAGCTACGTTGTTTTCAGAGCTTGATTATTCCTAAATTCCTATCTGTGAATTGAGTATGACAAGTCAAGGAAAAATTCATTTCTTCTGACAAGGGCTTTCCCTTTCTCTGGTGTTAAGAGTAGACCAATAAAGTAATTGAGAATAGGCTTCTCCTTTCACGATATCCTTAAGCTTCATGATATCCTTAAGCTTCTTCATTCTGTCAATATGACATCTGGCCTTCTTTGAAGTGTTATTTATTTTAAAAATATTGTAAATGCTCTACATGAAAGTGTCAAATTTTTGGAGACATCTTAAGATATCAGTAATGCAATTCCAAGCATGCTTACTCTGATCAGTCAGCACTGTTCAACCTGTTGTGATGACGTAGTGATGTCATTAAAAGTGGATAAAATATTTCAACATATATTTTCACTCTGGGATGTTCATGTAATCAAAGGACAGAATGGTAAGCTTATGTTTCCATTTCCTTCCTTAAAATTCTACCTACTCCAAAGGGGCAGATGAATCGACCATTTTGCAACTAAACTCAATTGTATAATCTTGCTTGCTGTTGTTTCACAAAGCTCTCTGCCATTGGCAGACTGCCTATCCCTTCTTGCAAGGGACAACTCATAAAACATTCACAGTAATTAATAAGTGATATTAAGAAATAAACAATAACCACTTAAGTTTTCTATTGGCAAGAAAATAACATTAATAAAGCTCTTTCCTGGCATCTATGAAAGTTGAGTGGTATAACAAATTTAAACCTGAACATTGTTATCTATGGTTGTATAGTAGTATGCATTAGCTATAATCTATGATTTGGTAGGAAATATAAAATTCAGCTCATAATTTGCCGCATTAAAAAAACCCACTTTACAATGTATCACTATTGTTCTTTAGTGCGGTGTGCGTGTCTCCAAATCCCCAGCTTGTGGACTGCTACCGGTCTGTGGCCAGTTGGCAACTAATCTGCAGGAGCAGTGGGTGAATGTGTGATGCTTTAGCTGCACTCGTGCAGGATTAGGTTGCCTGTGTGAAATCATCCCCTCCCCCCACACCGCTGGCCGCTACCGGTCCGTGGAATCAGAAAAGTTGGGGTCTGCTGTTTTAGTGTACAGATATCCATTGGCATCTATGCATTATGTATCTGTTATAGATATATACTAAAATGCAACGATCCATTTAGTTTTGTAAAAAATTACAAAACTGGCAGAGAACAATGTCTTTTATCACAGCTAATCACTTCAAATTGCTTGTCTTTTTAAAAAGTACTTGCATTACTTCCTCTGGTAGGTGACTAATGCTAGATCCTTTGTGAGGGGGGAAATAATTAAGAAATGTGATTATATTTCTATTATTAGCATGCCTAGAAAACCTGAACCTCATCAGCCTTAACTCCTTGAATGTTTATCAATTGCTAAAAAGCAAAAGAGAGAAGCAGGGGAAGAAATGGGCTGAGGACATGGCTTCCTTCTCACCTTCTTCTGCCCATTTGGCAGCAGATGGCAACGTTAGTGAAGGGATTTCAAGAGATGCACCTGCACTGTTCTCCTACTAAAACCACAGGATATGTCCCTTGGTCTAGTTGCTTCTATGCAAAGTTCGCTGGCACCTAGCAAAAATACATTTCTCAGCAGAAATAGCTTCCATTGCAGCAGACATTTTTGTGGCCAGGAAAATAAGAGAAGTGAAAAAGGAGCAGCGGCTAGAATGCTGCAGCAAACGAATATCTGGGCCTATTCTGCTTCTAGTGAGTTTCGCAGGTGCTGAACAGACTGCAAATTAGGTTTAGAACAAAATGCAAAATAAAGATAGTTTTTTTAAATGCATAAACTATTTTCTCAGGCCCAGTTGAACAGTTTGCCCATCACTAGCAAAAGTAAAAAATATCACATCATGTAGCTTATAATGGAATAACCTGCACACTACAAGAGTCCATGTGAATAGTTTTTGATTGCAAAAGATTGTTGTATTTGAAATGGCTCTACAAAAAAGTTTTGCTTTTTACTAAACTTGCTTGCATGGAAGCAAATGTAAGTTGCTGATTCATTTTTATACTGGGGTGCTTAAGGAACATTAAACTGCATCTTTTTGAAAAGAAATTGAACCAAGAGCCAATATAAAATTAGCTTTTATAGGTAAAGGGGTTGCTTTGCTAGTGAATTAAACTTTTTTTTTTTTGCAAAACACAGGGCTTTCCCCAGCCAACCAATCATGCAGATCAGTCGCTTCATTGCTAGGCTACACAGGCGATTGGATTAAAAAACAAAACAAAACACTACTTGTGTAATTCTCCTACATGGCCCAGAAAAGAGAGGCCTGTTCTCCTTCCCTCCCCTTAACTCCGCAGCTCTACAGATCTTCACAAGGTAAAGTGAGGGATTATGAGGAGAGGACAAGGACCACGTGAAACCCAGTAAAGCAGGTCTAGTGTACTTGGGGGCCCAGCAGGGCAGATTGTGGGGGGAAAATAGCTGGGTAAATGGCAGCATCTCTGCAAATGACCAGGTGGGCTTTGCAGAATTTGTAACTTTGAAACAGGGTCATATGTATTTTGGGGTGGGGTGGGGGTGGGGGTCTGGTATAACTTTGAATGTTTGTTAAATGACCTCCTGTACCTTGAGGACTACTTGTACCCAAAAGATTAACAATGAATGTTTGTGAAAACATATTCTGAGCCTGTTCTGAGAAGCAAAATATTTTGCTAGACCATTTTCTTAAAAAAAAAAAAAAAAGAAAACATTCTGATGTTTGGGACAGAACTAAACGTGGCTTTTAAGCAGAGGTGGGATTCAACCGGTGTTACTATTGGATCGGTGATTACGTTTTGCATGCGTGTGTAATACCCCTAAAGCTGTGCCATCTGGACAGCTGATAAGCGCTACGCGCGGGTGCGCAGCATTTGAAAAAGCACCTTTTTTCCTGCTTTTTCAACCCCCGCCGTGCTACGCAAAGCAGCTGAGGTTGAAAAAGCAGGAAATAAAAGTCAGGTAACAGCCTGGGTGGGCAGGCGGGCCAAACAGCAGCAGACATAGAACCCGTTCTTTGTCTGCTGCACTTCAGAGCTACTGGTTCTATAGAGCCGGGCAGAACCAGTAGCATTCCACCTCTGCTTTTAAGCTCTCTGTATTAGGAACAGCCCTTCCCGTTAAAAGTCCTTTTTCCAGGTCAGACTATTCTATGAATAAATTGAATGACACTTTAAATTTCCTAGTATTTCAATTTTAGTTGGTAACTGCTTTAATTCCTTCCTTCAACCTTTTTTTTTTGGGGGGGGGGGGAGGGAGGAAGAGAATTAGGATTGTTTCATAATTTTATTTGAAGTGATTCGCATAAAAAAGTGGGTGGAAATTTACCACCTCTTAGAAATAGCTAAATTGAAACTATTACTGTCTAGAAATATTATGAAATTTTTACTTCCCTCCCTAATTTTAATAAAGTAAAGGCAAATAAAAGGTTTTTCATGAAAAACACACTAAATATAATAACAGGGAATTTATTACCAATTCCAGCTATTCACATGGTGATTAAACAAGATCTGAACAGGACCACAATACTGTGCTCTTACATAGCACTAATTTTAGGTGGTTCTTGAACTAAAAAGTTCCCAGAGAAATTCTTCTTTTTACAGTAACATGCATCATATATACATTAATCTTCAATAGACTTGGATAAATATCTTTGTACATAGTTGTTCCAAGCTTCTGATCCAAGAGATTTTCTGAGAAAGGACTAGTTGTGAGTACTACCTTTGCTTGAAGTTATTTCTCAACTACAGCTTTTCAAATTGTATTTGAGATGGGTTCTAAACTTGTTTTGCTTTGAGAGTGGTTTTCCTCCCCCCCCAAATGGGGAAAAAAATCAGCTGCATGCAGATATCTTATATAACTATTTTAATTGCAGCCAATTTTGAATTTAGCTCTTTAACAGTCTATTTGTACTACCACTCAAATACTCTGGAAACAGTATTTGCAGTACAGAACAATATATACAATATTAAGCATAGCCAACATAGTCTTCATATAATAAAGTAACTGAAGGGACAGTATTGCTTGTTGTTACCTTTGTTCCTTAAAGTGAAAACTTTCTATAACAAAGCTGTAGAAATAGTCAGACCACTTCCTCACAACATCTTCTCAATCTATCAGTCATAGATTCATTGTTGAATTCTCAACCACAATGGCAACTCATGTAAGCCACTGGTCCTTTTCTTTGCTATATTTTTCAGACCACTTGTGAGTAAGCTCCAGATAAATATTTGGTTTATGCGGCTGATAATCCAGATAAGTTGTCACGTCTGTCTTTTTAGGAATGGCCTTTTCAATCTGAGTCCCTTCGTGCCATTCGTTAAAAGAGGTGATGGAAATGATTTCAGGTCTTACTAGAAGCGCAGCACTGAATGCCGTCTCGTAATATTTCCCGTTGACACGATTGCGTGTGTTGTGATTGTTCCAGGGTCGGATGCTGGTATCTATGTAGCCTGGGCCCACACTTGGAATAAACATTAAGTTTTTTATGTCACAGAAAGCTTTTAAACTGGGCCAATTATGATGGCTTGAACCATAAGAGAAGCCGTTTGTGGCAAAATAGGTGTAAATTCCATCAAAGCCACTTCGATGAATTTCGTGTTTATGTTTTTCTTCTACAATAAGGGCAAAGAATAAGCTGTCATAGGGTGTATTACGTATACTATGAGATCCTGATACTGTGAGCAGGTTTGCCCACATTTCTGGGATTGTGATGTAAGAATCATAAACATAGAACATGGGAAGCGTTCTACCTGTACTGACTTTATGTCTGTAAAAAGCTGGATGGTCTCCATATCTAAAAGCAAACAAGCAAAAAAAAAAAGGGGGGGAGGGGAGAAAAAAAAGTAAAAAAAGGTAAATGTTCCATATATATATTTCTAATCATCTTAAAAGTTACTCTTCCTGCCTTTCTCTCAATTATATTTCATTTCAAATGTCATAAATAGCATTAGATAAGCCTTTAAACACAATTAACTGCAATTCAGCAAAGCAAATTTAATAAACATAGTCTTATTAGGAAGATAAAATTACTAAATTGCTCTGCTTGTAACCCCCTATTTGTTGCTGCATGATACAGTAACAAAAATGATATCAATGATATTAAATATTGTGAATTTGAACAAAAAGAATGGGAGTTCAGTTTATTTTAATGAGAACTGTGTCTATTGATAAGGAGTTAATTTTTAATTGATAAACCACCATGAAACATATAAATAAGAAAGTCAGATGAGACAAAATAAAATTATCATATTCATATTCAAATATTACACCAAGTTCTTACTTGTCTATAATATACTTGACATTGCTGTACATGCTACGATCATCTCTGTCTTTATATGGCTCAATATGGAAAGTGACCTGAAACATAAAAAGTTGTTTTTTTTTTGTTTAAAAAATGGAATGTCTCAAAAGAGCAGAAAAAATCTTAAAGTCAGTAGCCCTCCATTTCTGAAAAATATAAATTTTATTTTATATTTGCACGTATAGTAGAAAAAGAAGAGAAAAAAACTAAAGGAAGAGAAACTTTTAGTTCTTTACATGGGAATAGTTTGTCCTGTTGTCACCCAACCCAGATTGGTTAGAAAATGGAAAGCATAGCTATTCGGTACAAGCACAGAACAAAAATGCTCTATGCTGCCATGGCAATTAATTTTTTGCTTTATTCATTTAATTAATTTCTATGGCCACCCTTCTAAGATAAGTGACTCTAGGCAGCAACAATCATAAAGACAATTAAAAACAATTACAGTATAGTACAACAATAAATATATATGGCAGCCATTATTAACTAAACCAGAAAAAAGGGGCTGGAAGATGACACCCAGGAGAAAGTTAGTAGCCCTTTAGTATTAAAACTATGTTTTCCTCTGCTGAAAAATCACCTAAACACAATGCTATGATGTTTTAAATTTGCCCACAGAAAAAGAAAATATAAGCACATTGCCAACTCCAATCTGAACATCAAATTTAAATGTGCTGACAGTGAAAAGAGAAATGTGTCTGGAATTTCAAATGATTAAGAGTCTCAGTGTCATTGCCATCTATGATTCATTTTTGAAGCATATCTGCCCAATAGTTTCAAGCCTTGTGCAAAACTGTAGAGACACTGAGTTACCTAATATTAAATTCACTAGATGATTATTTTATCAGGGAAACAGCATTTCAAGATATTAATGTCTCCAGGAAAAAATATACGTACTAATTTGCAAGAAATGCTCAACTTATTAAACGTTCAGTTTTAATTAGTGTTGGGATCGATTTTAGGGTTTGGGCAGTTCAAATTATTTAATTTTCCAGTTCAGCAATTTCTACCTGAATATGTAATTGGATTTACCTTATTAGCAAACAATTTTCTCCAACACATCTCCCCTGCTTTCCTAATCAACCTTATCCTTTGAAAGGAAGAGATAACTGGCAATAATGACAACGCATTACTAAAGAGGCTAATGTTGACCATTTCTTTACACAATTTCTAGCCAGTGTACATGTTATCTTTTACTCAGAATCTGGGATGGAATAGTGTCATTTCCAATTCTGGGTTGAGACAAAGTATTTAAATAATATTTACAATAATATTTAAATATTTAAATAATCCAATTATGATTAGATTTAAAGAAACTGTACCTTAGATTTCTCAAACACATGACAATTATTTTTTAACTCTTGCATTTTTTAAGGGCAATCATTTCAGTTTTGACTAAGGACAATTCTTCCATTTTCAAAAGAATTAGAAGTTACTGTCACTAAGAACAAATTTTGGGATATAAAAGTCTCATATATTTACATATATATTTATCTGGTAATATTTGCTTTGAATTAAGAGAGGGAACTGTTGCTTCTAAGAAGATGACTCTATACCTGCTTCAAATAGCTTTCTAACTAGAATGGTACAAAATTAAAATTAATTTAAAAGATAGGACTGCTGTCGGTTTGAATATATATAACTTATGAAAGGTAACAACATAGGATTTTGTAAGCACTCTTTTACTGAAATAAATTATTAATGATATTTAATAGTACAATTACAAATATGACTACTCAGAACTAGTCCAACTGAGTTCAATGGAATTTAATCTGAGAGAAATGGATATAAAATATCAACTCATTTTATTGCTATAACAGTGTAGACTATTTTATTCAACCCATTACAGCTAGTTTTTACAAATTTCAAATACTATACCTTTAATTTATACTTGTGTGCAATATCCAAAATTATAGGCACAAGCCCATCAGTGGGCTCGCCATTTTCATCAGCCATAACAGGAGGGTACCAGGAAAGAGCCAAAACCCCTAAGGAATAAAACATAAACCTTTTTATTATAAATTTGAATTGATACCACCACCACCAAATGTTTTCTGTAAAGCCTCACAAAATAACCACATTTTGAAGTTTTTATTTAAAGTTTGCTATAAGCCACTTCAGTTATAATAGGCCGATGACGTGTGGACACCACAGGGCTCAGTGCTGTCACCTCTCCTTTTTAACATCTACATGAAGACTTTAGGCGAAAGTATCTATTGGCATGAGGTTGGGTATCATTAATATGCTGATGATACCAGTTGCACATATCAACTTCAAGCTGTCAACCAAGAAATGCATCAAGGACTTTCCATCTTTAGTTGGAAACTGGATAGCATTTTCCAAAATTCACAATCTGAAGGTTCTCCTAGACTCAGTTCCTTCTCAAAGAGCAAGTGGCAGCTGTCTCTAAGAAGGCTTTCCCCAGATTCATCAGTTGCACCACTGCACTCTTTTCTTAACTGGAATCCCTTCTCATAGGCACTAATGACTAGTCACTAGTACCAATAATGACATAGTCACTAATGACACCAGTCATAGTCACCTCCCACATGGACTACTACAATGCTCTCAACGTAAGGTGGCCCTCAAAGACCACTTGGAAACTACAACTGGTCCAGAAGGAAGTAGTGAAGGCAGTGATTGATGTTCTAATTTTCTCTGGTGTGAGGTGCACTGATTGCCAGTTAAGCTTCCAGGCATAATTTATCTTGCTGTTTGTGATCCACAAAGTCTTACCAGATCTAGGGCTGGACTACTATCACTATCTGGGTGACTGTCTTTCTCTCATTGTTTCTGCCTATCCTCTAAGATAAGAAAGAGTGGACATGCTCCCATCTTTAAAACAAGCTCCTCTGATGAGACTTAGTGGCATGCTTTCTCTTTTGGGATGCCTGCTTTCTTAAATAGCATTTCCCAAAAAATTAAGGTGCCCTGATATCCTTTAAATTGGCCTTGTAGATTGGGCTTTTTTCTCTAGTTGTAGGCTAGGAAATATGTGCTATTGAGTTTGAGATGTTAATCTCGGGGCTATCACTTTCTTTTGTTGGCACTGTATTAGATTATTTACAGCCAAAAGTTTAATTGGCAAACCTGTAAATTTGATTAATTAATAAATAACTGGCAAAAGAAGCCATGGGTAACAAGACAGGGTAAGTTCTAACATATAAAGGAAAGGCTTGATAAAAAGGGCTCAAGTCTTAAATTACAGGCCAATTCATCAAGTGACATTCTATACTACTGAACTCTGTGGCTTTTTACTCAGTCACTGAGGAAAAGATCTATGCAATTTACTAAATGATCATATCAAACAGATCTGGGGTGCACATTTTCCATCAGCTCAAAAATCACATTAGGCTTGTATACCGCAGTGAAAGCCACATTCCAAAAACTGGACCAATTAACTTTTTAATATTTTACAATAGCAAAATCAGCTACGGCTTTCTCATCAGTACAGGACATTAGGACTAATTTTTTGTTTGTTATATTTTACCTACAACAGCACAACTGTGTTTTGAAACAGATGGAAACATCTTTCTGCTGCTGCTTTTTTAAAAAGTTACATATGGTCCTTGGTTAATGCCCACTTGTTCAGCAATAGTTTGCACTTACGACTGGCCCTCAAAGTTTCAACCACTGCAGCATCCAGTGGTTACGATGTATGACTTTTCCTATCAGCTTCCTGAAAGCAATGTCAATGGGGAAGCCGACAGGAAGTCAGAAGTCATGGTCATGTGAGTCCTCACTTTATGACCAACAGTGATTTGCTTAATAATGGTAATTGGGGACTATTGGAACTGCTCTTGCTAATGGGAAGAATCAAGTGATATTGCACTTTACGACCGCATAATTTAGCAAAAAAATGGTCTCAATCAGTGTCATTAAATGAGAATTACCTATACTAAAACAAGGGAAATACAATAATATAGAGTAAAATAAATAAATACACAAAAAGATGGCAAGAACAAGACATTGGGCAGGAATATAGTGAAGGGGTTTCACTCTATTTTGTTAAGCCTTGAGTGAAGAACCAGGTTTCAAAGCCCTTCAAAACACCAGCCTGGGTGGAAGACTTCTGAATCTTGGGAAGCCTCATTCTAGAGGGAACAGAGCAAGCATGCTTCCCAGATTCTAACAGAGGGCATTGTTTAATTGAAGCAGCCTGGAGCACATCGACCCTGATGAAACCAGCCAGGTAGATACTATGGGAGATAGGCAGTCCCTCAAGGAAATCGGGCTCTACGCCAGATAGTGAAGATTATAGATAACTACTGTGTTTCTCATATAATAAGGCCGGGTTTTATTTTTTTTTGAGCCCCGAAAAAATGGCTAGGCTGTCTTTTCGGGGGTGACTTAATTCCCCCCCCCCAATTGCATCTTTGGGCGGGCGGGCAGCGATGGCTTGGATGTTGACCTTGGCATTGGTGGGGCACTTCATACTGAGGTCAACGCAGGCAGCACCATATCCGGGTGTGCAACAAAAGTACTTCCTAACTGCAAGCCTCCCCACGATTCCCCCCCATTTCGCATGTTTTAATATAGGCCTTAATTTGGGGGGAGGGGCTTAATTTCATTTCATGCCTATAAAACATGCTGGGACTTCCTATTGGGGGAGGCCATATTGTTGGAGAAACAGGGTATCAGTATCTTGAATTGCACCAGAATGCAAACACACAAGGCAAACAGCTCACAAAGTTGAGGTGTTACTGAGGGATGACCATTACTGCTCCCACCACTGCATAAAGCAAGCAAGCAACCAGTTTGTTTTAGGGGAGTTTTCTGAGAATGAGGAAGGGAAAAAAAAAGATCTGCAGAAGGTGAATAAATTGGATCAGAAGGTGAATAAATGGTCTGGAAAGATGAGGTGAAGATTGCAAGGCTTTGAGAGGAGGCTGAAAGCAAGCAAGCAAGCAAGCAAGCAAAGGGATGTAGGACAGACAAGAGCTTTGGGCGGGGGGCAGCGAGGTGGAAAGAGATGGAATATTTACCAATGGATGCTGATCTCATTTGCTTCATGTGAGCTTCTATGACAGATGGGTCCCTAGAGCTATAAGGTCCAAGTTCTGGATAGAAGCTTGAGCCAATATCTTCTGGAGGACTGTGTCTGCCTTTTGGATAACCACTTGCAATTTTTGGATCCCAGTGTGTCAATAATGGGTGGTTCCAATGAATATATTTTCCATCAAACTGTGGAGTCCCATACCAGCTGTAGTAAAATACATGGAAGTTATAATTTGGAGGAGGTAGCTCTTCCATTTTTCTTATAGAAGTTGCAGGTGTTTTGAGATTCATCGGTAGAGGATGAACACTTTTGGTCCTCGGGAAACTGTCTTCTTTTGCTCCTTTATGCAGACTGATCTTCTTTTTTAAATGTGTTGTCTGTTGCTGAAAATCTGGTAACAGGCCAAGACCAAATGGATCTCCAAACCCAGCTCTTTCTGGTCTCAGAGTTTTCAGTGCCATCATTATAGAGCAAATAAATAAAATAAAAAGCAGCAAAACGATGCATGTTCTCCTGCGAAATCTTGCCATGATATCATGGTAGTTCAGGACACAGGTAGGAAGCGTCCAGCTGCCTGTAAACAAGAAAAAAAGAACATGACTGTAGGGTTTAGATTTTGCAATCAATTAAACCAAATTCATTCTAACATTATAGAATTATTTAATATTTATATATAACCTAAAATTTCCTAAACCCTGAATACATCTTAACATAGGAAACCACTGAACTGATTTATGTTGATCATATTGTATCATCTAGTTCAATACTATTAGTATTGATCACAGCACTCCAGTTCTCTAAGGCTACAGTTCTCATTTTTTCATGTTATAATCCATTAATAATTCTATCAAAAAAATCAAGAGTCTTTCCCAACCCCCATGATAGAAACAAAAGTAATACTTTTTTATAAGGAAGATGTTAATATAAGAGACACAGGATATTGAGCTTAATTATCTAATTATTGCTTCCAACTCTTATGTTTTATTATTACAGCATATTAAGAAATTGCATTGCTATGAGATATTTTTACTGTGGACTTTCAAACACAAATTAAAATAACAATTCCACTAAAAGTGGAAAAGCAAAGCAAAATGGAGAAATTAAGAAGGAACTGACTTAGGTGGATATTTTCTGTTCTGCAAAAAGCATTAACGATGGAAAACAACAAGACACATCATGCTTCTAGCTGTTGCTTGCAAATAATCTAATAATACAGTACATGAAAATACACAATAGAAGCTTAGGGTTTCAAATAGAAAGAATGAGGGTAGTGATGTTCAGACAACAGCAGAGATGCAATGGAGAAAAGCTCTTCCTCACTTTATCAATCTCCATCCCTGTTCAGTCAGTCAGTCAGTTAGTCAGTCATGTCAGTCAGTCAGTCAGTCTTCTCTTGCTTCTTGCAGCTGCCTGCAAAGTAATTCAACAAGCTTTTCAATGAGCATGTGAAAGAACTGGAAGTTGTCACCTGAGTAGCTCAAAGCCCTTCTCAAGCCTGAATAATTGGAAATGCTTCCCATTGTTGAGAGGGGTATGCAGTACCTCATCTACTTAAACAGTATCCCAGGCTACCTGAAAAAGTCTCTGGCTAATCTGCTAGGATGGGGTACATTGGGGGGGGGGTGGCGGCAAGGAAGGGCGGAATTACAAATTCAGTGTTGTTCAATACAAGACCCATTTGCTTATGGGTCATGAAAGCCAGGGATCTTGTGGCACAATACAACAATGTTTCTTTCATTATTTGCCTGTCTGGGATCTTCTACACATAAAGCAACTATTCTAATATTGAGACAAGGAACCCTTTATCTTTAAAATATAAAACAGTCCCAGCCCAGGACGATATCTAACAGGTTAAAAGAAAAAGAAAAAGGAATAAGAAGAGAACACAAAAGTAAAAACAGGCATGGTTGGCTAATGAAAGAAGGCAGGTTGGTCTTCTGTTTGCCATGATCTCAATGAGTTTATTGATCTCCTGGTTGACACCCCTCTCTTTATTTCTATAACCTTAGTATCTCATTCAGATATAGTGATATAGATATGAACCTCTTGATAAAACAGGGCATTTATTCAAAAGTAACTGAGCACAGTTCTGCTTTTCCCATTATTAGTACTTTGAGGATTGAAGAGGATGGGAAAGTCAGAAATCATTTATGGTATGTGATTTCTCTGACAACAAGAACTACTGTAATATAACCATACCAGTTTAGCTTGCCCCTTCTACTAGTCTCAAAGGATTGACATGTTCAAGTCAATAGAAGAACAAAACATCTCCATTTTGGGACACATTTACTTTACTATCTGGATTGTAACATGGAGACAAAATGCAAAGGACAAAGAATTTCCACACACTTCCCAGTTTATATTGTCACCCAACTAGTAATTCCAACTCTGGATGCCTAACAATGAGTTACAAACAAGTAAACAAATGAAAGCCACAATGAAAGCCCAGAAGGCAAATTGCAAAACATAACACCAATAAGCCAATCACAATTATTATCTTAATCTTTAAAGAATGAGCTCATCTAAAAAACGGGAGACAAGCCAGGTTTTCAAAGCCTTATGAAAGGCTTGCAGGGCCAGGCCTATCTGATTTTTGGGAAGGAATAAATCCTTCTTAGGGCAGAGGCTATGATAGAGAAATTGCACCTTAAATGGCATGGTTTATACAGGAGACCCAACCATCCCCACTCTGTTGGAGAGAAATAATTGGGGATAAGTGATAGTCCAGAATAAGATAGCCCTGAATCATGAAGGACTTTGTAGCTGGAAATTAACAGTTTGAATTGTATCTGAAAATCAGATACTAGGAGCTAATGCAGCTCATGAAGCACTAATGTTATATTGGTATATCCTAAGCGATGTTTAGATTTTAGATGTAAATCTAAATATAATCTATTATCATGGAGAACATGACATATGTTGTCAGAAAGATACATAATGCACAAAGAAAAGCAGGACATAACTCATTTATCTTTGACAATTTTACCTCTGCTAAAAGCCAGGAGAAATTAGATTAGACAAAGAAAAGTTGAATGTTTTCCATGTGTGCTTTCTAAGCTGGTAAAAATACAGGAGGATGGAGAAATAGGAGTTATGGGTGTTCAAAACATAAACATTTAATGATCAATCCCTAGTGATCTACCATTCAGTTTCAGGAAGGCTAGAAGTCAGCAAATCTGCCTATAACTTGTGATTTACTAAGTCCCAAAAGTATTTTGTTCAGTAATGACAAAATTGAAGAAAAATATTAGGCCTCATTAACAGAATATCAGGTTTTCTTTATTTATTACATAGTCTGCATTTACTCTGTGTTCATCCAAAGCAGATTTACAATATTTTACAAGTTTTGCAATATAGGGTCAGTTTTGAAATTATGACAGCTCTCCCAATTCCCAAGCAACATAGTCAACAAAATTGGCAACTAAGGAAGTGCAATATGTAAAAAAAACACCAATGATAATTTGAATATGTAGAAAAACAAGGTGAACTCTGATTGAGTTCTTCGACTAACATCATGAGCAGTTTCCAGAAGAACGGATATATTCACGATACATTAAAAATAACAACCAAAAAAATAGCATGGATGTGTTAAGGCATAAGCTTCTTGATGTGAATTGTAATTGATCAAAGCTTATGCCACACGAGGGACACAAGCATCTGCAAAAGGCCAGGCGGTCTAGACTAGACATAATCATAGTCGGGTCTCACAATAAACCCCCCACACACTCATATTGAGAAATTGACCTTGGCTGATCTTGAAAAGCACTTCTTCAAGTTCAGCCGCCTTTGGAAACAATTGTTCCTTATTAGCAGAGGGAAGGGAGACTACTGAGAAATCCCAAGCTATAATAGGATGGAGATGAAAGTCCAGAAGAACAACCTGGGAAGAAGCTAAAGGAAAAAAGCCTTCCTACGGAGACATTCATGAAGTCTTCAAGAATAGAGCTGGGTTGGAGAGATTTGATCTTACCTCTCCAGATAACGCTGCCTCCCACCCTTCCTTCTCTCTTTCTCTCTCTCTCTCTCTCTCACACACACACAAAGGGGCTGAAGAAGCTTCTTGGATGAGGAGTGAAACGTCTTCAAAGAAAAACCAGAAAGTCCAAGTTGCCTCTTGAAAAAGAAAAGCACCTTTGGTACAACAATGACCTGAATGACTGAGAATCTTCACAGATACACACACACACACACACATATATATATATATATATATACCCACACATACCCACACACAAATATTCACGTAACCAGCCAAGCTGAGTAACCGATATCTGGCCTAATTATTTCTCTTGCACAGCCAGCCCAAAGGCTCCTGTTTGCTGCTTTTAATAGCTCTGCACCTGACCGAGGAACCCTCTTCCACTCGAGATCCCCGCAAGGGCTGCGCAGGCAGAGGCTCTCCTTCCCAGCAACCGGTGAGCAGAGGAGAGAGGATCTATCCTCTTCCCCCCTCCCCCGGGACTCCCCGCCCCCTCCGCGTTATCCCTAGGCAAGCGGGCTAATGGGAAGACCGCAGGAGAGGAGGAGGAGGCGGCATCCACAACAAGCGCTAGCCCCTGGCGCCTTTCTCCTTGCTACTCACCCGTCTGCAGAACCGGACTGAAAAGTTCAAGCAAGGATTCGAAAGAAGGGGAGGGGGAGCAACGGCGGAGGAGGCGGAAGATTTAAAATGGACCGATCGGGGAAGGAAGCACAGGCTCAGGGTTACCAGCCTCTTTTCGGAGTTGGCTCCCCCTAGCTTGCGGTTGTCTTCTCCATCGGAGCATGCGCAGTTGCCAAGGTAGAAGGCACGTTGCCCTTACCTCCAGGAAAGCAGTAAAGTTACTCTGATCACGCCTCTCTTTCTTTGTCGGCACAACCGAACTACCTTCGGGCTTTTTTTTTTTTTTTTCCTTCTTCTTCTTCTCCGGAAGTGTTGGGGCTCGCGACCTGAGTTAACAAGCATGCGAATTTTTTTTTTCTTCGCTTAAGCGTCCGTTTGCGAGCCTGTTGATAGCGAGCTCAGAAGTCTACTGTGGGTTTTTAAACCTCCATGGAAACGCGAAGATGCCATCTTCACTAACTCATTGTTCTCCATTCTTGCAGAGAGAAAAACTCGCAAGCCGTGACATTCCGTGCACTTATTCCTATAGCGTGTGTGAGTCCACGTGTGTTGGATTTTAATTCCATTCTTAGCTTTTTAGCCGCAGTGGAGCTGAGATCGTACATATCTGGTAGGTGTTACATTAGAGAAAGAGAAATACATTTTTTTTTTTGCTTATCTGTTACAGAATACATTATGGGCTTTTTCAAATCGAAGCACAGTAAATAACGAACCAGAAAAATAAATCTAATTCTTAGACTATTTGACAAAAAAATTATACCGGTAGCAAGGTACATCTGCTGTATCCTATTGGCTGAATTTGGTTATCGTGTTTATCAAAATAGAACTGAACATTAATATATATTTCTACATAAAGTTTTCTGTACATTGTTTCTGAGATTAATCAAGGGGCTGTATGTTGGACCAAGAATGCATTTGTGAGAATCTTCCCCTGAATTAAAGTTTAAATCACAGATTAGGGCAAATGCAGTCTTCTTAGCAATGCATTGGAGCATAAAATGAACAAAGCACTCAAAAACATTTGTACTGTTCATGTTTCTAGTATTTCAGGCAAAATATTGCTCAAAAAGAAAAAAACGAACCCTGTGTTTAGGTTCTGGAATTACTACAATAGTTCGTCTCTGAGTCATCAGATGGGGAGGAAAAGGGAAGAGGCTTAAAATGGAGGAGTCTGCAACATTCCAGTTTTTTGCCCAATTGCCTCTTCCATGTTAAGGCAGGGGTGTAAAACTCACGTTGTCACATCATTGTCCCGTAATGTATCTGGACTTTTTCCCCCTTTGCTCAACCGGGCATACATGTGATGCATCTGGCCCGCAGGCTGGGAGTTTCACAGCCCTGTGTTAAGGGCATAAAAAGCCCAATTACTGCTTTTTTCCCTAGCATTCTTTCTCCCTTTTCTCCTTTTTCCTGTACTTTCTGATCTCTGTTTCTACTTTAATTTAAAAAAAGTTGCTCAGATAAATCTTTCCCATTCACATACCCTTCCACAGCTCTTGCTGCTCACACACCCTCACACCTGAACTGCGCTTTCAGGCACCATACCCAACCTCCCCCCATCCATTCTTCTCAACCTGCACTGCAATCAAGCATTCTCCCTGACCTCCCCAAACCTCTCACACATTCACAGGTACCCCCTCTGACCCATACCGCACCCTCCTTCACTTGGGCTTCACTTTTCATGCACTCTTGTGCACCTTGCCTGATCCACATTATACCTCATGCATTCCTATGCACTTGTTTCAACCCTCACCACACCTCTTACAAAATGTGATGATCTGGGGCATGGCACAAAGGCAACACACATAATAACTTTGCCCCCAATATTCTGGTTACCTTCTGGTCCGGAAAAATATTCTCCCAGGAATAGCTTTTGACTGTAGAGATTCAAGTCCAAAATGTTGTCAACAGAAACCTTAACTATAAGTCCAATCAAGGCAAGATGAGGTAATTAACCCGGCAGGGCAATATAAGGAGTTCAAGAAGTGAAGGAACAGCAGAAAATTAACCCAGTTGTGAGATTGCCAGGAATGCAGATAATCACAGTGAACACAAGATAAACTCACGTTTGTTCCCAGAAAATGCTGCTCTCAGCTGCCTCTCCTTTAAACTCTGCCTAATGAAGGGAATCAGGGATCTTTCCTCCCCCATAAGCCTGCAACCCACATTGCTCTCTTCTCCGTTCTTCCTTGCATGCCCTAGGATGAAGAGGGGTTGGGCCTGGGTCTTCCTCTGAACTCCCTTGTTCTACCTCTTCTCTGCTCTGCCCAGTCTGACTTTGTCCTTCCCCAGTTTCCTCCACAGCCAACAGAGCCACACACCCGCTCCCTGTCAGCTGTTCGTCTTCCTCCTTGGATTCAGACTCCAACAGGGGCATGACACATAACACTCACACCCTTGCACACCCTCCTTGACCTACACATGCCTTCTATGACTCCCACATACCCCTTGCTCTCTTCCTCACCTGCCACTGCTTACCCACCAGCTGGCCTGGGGCTTGCAACTTCCTGCTGGCTTCCCCACTGACTCCAGTTGGGAAAATCCACAAGAAATTTCCTCATCTAAAGACAGAGTCACTCTATCTGGAAATTCTGGCCCTAATTGAGTCATAAACCAAGTACTACTTGTACATACAACTTCTAAAGCCCTTCTTATTCATTTCTGAACCTTACATGGTTTTAATATTTGGGCCTCCAAAATGTGTTTTTTGAGGGGTTGAAAGAAACTACTATATTATAAGTTTGCATTTGACTGTTAAAAGTTTTGCCACAGAATGGATTCTGGATTTGTTCTAATGATTAAACAGTCCCCTTTTTGTATTATTTCAGCAACGATCATATTACAAGAAGAATTTATCATTTGAAGGTGTGACTTTGAGGATTCTTACTTTTCCACTGTTAAGCAACTTTATTATATTCTGGTTCAGTCACCTCTTTTTACCACTTTTTACTGATAAAATTATCCTTAAATTTGTTACATCACATTGTTG